TCTGGGTGAAATTTATGGTTTGTATATGAGGCTGGCAGAGGCTGAGCCTGTTTAGGTGCTGATGGCAGAGACCACAGCACATGCCACGTATACCGTGATACACAGATAGAAGTGGGCTCCCAGGGGTGTGCAAAGAGAGGGAGGGCTCCCCCACCCAGCACTCGTCCTCCCCAGGCCCTTAGCTGGGCATGGATGGTTCCCACAAGGAAGGGCCCTGCCCTAGGACAATGTGCGCATGTCAGGGGTTGGGGCAGGGATGTCTCTGAGGCTGTGTAACCAGGCGAGCATCTGGGGCTGGAGGTGTTCATTAGAGAGAGGAGCCTGCGGGGCCTGCTGTTAGCTGGGCCACCAAAGTGGCAGAGGAAAGGAGCTTGCAGGACATCCAGATTGGTCTCTCAGGGGGCCTCCCCTAGAGACAGTGAGGGCAGTGGTACGCCTGCAAAGTGACAAACGGTTAGAAGACTAAAAGATACTGTGTGGAAGAAATGTGCCAGAAATGCGGCATTGGAGTGCCGCAGGCTTTAGGTGTAGCTGGCAGCATCTCAGGCCCACGCTGTGCATGCACCCCGCCTCAGGCAGGCACCCAGGCCTCGCCAAGCCTCCTCACTTCTCCCTTCTGCGCTGCAAGATGGGGGTGTGCGGGGGCCAGCAGCATCTGAGGGTTTTGACTATGAATTTGAAGTAGGAGAGCCACCTGGCAGGTCTGGAGCATCTGTGATGCCCGTTTTCCTGCCCCAGCCTTGTAGGAGTGAGGGGAGGAGCCCAGCAGCCAGTCTCAGCACAGCCCCACGGCTCTGCCCCGGCTTTCCCCATCCCACTTGTGCTTGCGCTGAGGATGGACAAGAACAACGGACCCAGAAATGCGCATTTTAGGGACTATTGACGTCCTTGGAGGAGGTTGTGTTTGCAGATTGGACCAAGGTCTCGGGACTCCTCCTCTTGGGACCATCAGTGGTTTCACTGTCTGCCTCATGGAGGATTAATGAGATCATGTCCTTAAAGTGGCTCAGTGAGGAGCACTGTCTATTTTAGTGACGTCATGCCATGAATCATAAATAGCCTGCACAGTGCAGCTGGAAAGGGTGAGGACAGGACCCACAAAGTGGGCAGAATTTCCAGAGACTGTTCTTGGCTTAGGGTACAGGAGGGCTTTCCAAGGATGCCTAGTTCGTAGTGAAACAGGCTTCATTTTGTTGCAGAGCCGCAGGCTGAGCCTAGCCAGGCAGGTGAAAGCATAGGGAGGCTCCCTGTATACAGCTGAACACGCGGCAGCTCTCAGACCCTGCTCTTGTGGCTACCGCCTAATGGGTAGATAGCAGAGACCTGGCTATTTTGGGAGCTGTATTGAAGTCTGTGGCTTCAGGCCATGTTTCTTCACTGAGGTGGAGGCACTGCAGAGTAGGGTGAGTAACGCTGAGTCAGCTGCACACCCCATCTCAGCCCAGGGAGGGAGGAAGCAGCTCAGAGGCTTCTGTGGTAGCCGGAAGCCGGCTGTGGGTGGGGGCTCCTTTGCCTGCCCTGGGAGGGATCATTTCCACTCTGCAGCTGTGCATTAAACCCAGCATGGTGCTCAGCGGGGTCGGGGGCTCAAGTTTGTTCCAGGGGTGGGCTGGAGCCTGCCTTCTTCACCAGGCCGCTGAGCCCCTGTGTGCTTACTTGGGGGCTTGGCCAGAACACTCTTTCTCTTTAGTTGTCCTTTCTAACTTCAGAAAAGACTTAACCCCACAGCCCTGGCCCAGGAGTGTTGGGTAGAAATGTCTCCCCGCTAGCCCAGCTCCAGGCTGGATACCACCATGTGTCTTGAAGTCTTCTGTGGAACCCACAACCATGGGCCCTGCCTGGGGACCTGGGAGAAATAGAAAGGGCTGTGTCCTGGCACAGAGCTAGCTGGCTCTGCCCTCCTCGGGCGAGTCATGCCTCTGGGCCCTCCTGGAAACAGGGTGACAGTGACCCTTCCATGCTGCACCCTCAGCCGCAGGGAGGGTGTGAGAGGCAGCAGTGACCATCCACATGCTCAGGAGACATGTGCGGACTCAACTGCCCATGCATAGCAAGGGCAGGAAGGGTGCTCAGGGACCCCACACTTGTCCCCAGATACCTTCTGAGTTGCTGATACACTTTGGTGTGTATCTGCACTTAAGCCCTCCGGACCCCAGAGGAAAGCTGTGGTCGTGCCCTCCAGGACCAACCCCAGGAGAAAGGGAGCACATCCAGGCTGGGGGAAGTGAGAGGAGGCGTGAGTGCTAACATGAGGCCCAGGCACAGCCGGTGTTGAGGACATGGTGGGCTGAGCATCGCTGGGCTTCCTTCCATATGTGGGCTCTTCTGATGCGGTCGGAAAGCCTGGGATGTGGAAGTTCTCAGGAATTAATTGAGCCTTTTATAGTAAAAGATTCTTAAAACTCAAGTATATGTGGGCATTTTTTATTTTAGAGGGAATTAATTTCCACTTATTGTGGAATCCACACAGCAGTGTGTCTTTTTTCAAAACCCAGATCTCTCATTCCGCAGCCCATGACGACTGGGTCTGGGCTCCCTTTGCCTCGGCACCAGCGCTCGGGCCGTGGTGGCCTTGCCTGCTGCCCGTCCCCTCCAGAGAATGAGCGGCTGGGCTGTGGCGGCAGCTCGGGCCTGTCTTCATCTGCATCTTCCCCACCCACTCCCTGCAGAGGCCCCATGTGGCCAGGACCAGGAAACTGGCCTGAGCTTGAGGGTTCAGAGGTGGGGTGGCAGGTGCTTCCCTAGTCACCTGGGTGGGAGAGGGACTGGCATGCGACTGCAGAGGGACCAGCAGGGTCGAGGTGGAGCTGCTGCCTTGAAAAGGAACAAGGCATGTTCTGAAGGTGTTTCGGTACAAGCCGAAGCAGAACTCCCGTGACGCTGTGCCTGAGCTGAAATGCAAGCAGTTATTTCCGAGGAAAACGAGGGGCGCTGCCTGTGGAGTCCGGGAGGCCACCTTCATCTTGCTGGCCCATGTTCGGGGGTCACATGGCTTTTCCTTTCTGTTGAAGAGCCCATTGTGCAGAGCAAGTGTGGGCTCCCGGCCCAACTCGAGCCAGGCTCGCCTGTGTGTCCCTCTTCCTGAGGGACCGTAGCCCAGCTTTGCTCTTCATTTGCCTGAACCTGAATGAGGCTCCAGGAAGATGGGGGTGGAGGAATATTTGACCTGGAGTAGGCCCGGGTGCCGGCTCATCCCTACCCAGTGACATTGAAGATACGGTGGGTGACTTGCAGAAGTAACTCCCGGGATCTCAGGAGAACATTTCTGAAAAGAGACTGAGACGGGGCACAGCAGTCTCGGTCTCCAGCACTGGCGTTCTGCAAACCCAGGGGTAGGTTCCCCTCGGAGGGTCTGACCGTGGCCTGAAAAAGGGAGGGTGGCGAGACCATCTCCCTGCCTCCCCCCATCTTACCCATGGGGAAGTCTTCGTGCTAGGCAGGCTCCTGGAATAGGTACTCCTGGATGGGTTTAAAGGTCCCACTGAGTTTCTCTCTGTTGTCTGCCTTCGCCGTGCGCGCTACTTGGGCCAGGTTCTTTGCCTCTCTGGCTGTCTGCTTCCTCCTGTCGGGTGAGCAGTTGGTGGTCTAGGATGACCACACCCCCCCCGGAGTGTGGCTCACAGCTGTGTGCATGTCCCAGGTCCCAGGAGTTGCTGGTGCACCGGATAGTTTGTGTCTAATGAAATGGTTACTTAGAGCAGCGTGTCGGCCTGGGGGCTCAGCCTTATGTTGTGGAACTGAGAACTCACTGCCAGATCTAACAAGCTGTGATGCTAGGTGGGAAAATGTTCAGCACGGAGGACTCCTGGGTTCCCTCGCTGGGGTGCCACTGCTCCCTCTGTTCTGTCGCCGCTGCTGCTCCCTCTGTTCCGTCGCCGCTGCTGCTCCCTCTGTTCCGTCGCCGCTGCTGCTCCCTCTGTTCCGTCGCCGCTGCTGCTCCCTCTGTTCCGTCGCCTCTGCTGCTCCCTCTGTCCATCGCCTCTGCCCTGTGGGGGCTTCGCATCTCACATAGTTCTTCTACTTGAGGCTGGAGCCAAGCAGGGCAGGAAACCTCAGCCGTGGCTGTTGTCGGACGTGCTGCCTTACTGATAGGTAAGGAAAATTTGAGCTCTAAACAGGCAAAGTTTCTGGTGGTTTTTCTTTTTCCTATTTCCTTACTCAAGACAGGGCAGAGAGCAGATGTTTCAGCCCTTCTGGCGTGTATGGTGGCTGCCTGGGCCATGCCCCTGTGATGGGTACGCAGGTGTTCCACACCCCCTTTCTTGTCCTCAGCATGCGCCACCCCTCCTGTCGGCTGGACTTGCTCTTCACTGGGCTGTTGGCTGACTCCTGAGAACTGGGGGCTGACAGCAGGGAGGGTGACCTGGCCCAGGTCACATGGCCAGTAGGTGGCTCAAGGACGGTTAGTTAGGATGAGCCTCTTGTCCCTTCACATGGTCCTTGTTCTCCAGGGAACATGGTGACTGAACTGACCCGTGTTGGGTGATGGGAGAGGCAGGCGGGTGGGGAGCTGCTTCGTGCCCCTGAGCCCAGCTAAGGGCTGCCCCAGGGCACTTTGCAGGGAAGTCTGCTGGGAGGGATGGGTGGGTGGAAGGATGGGGACCAGAGCCAGCTTCACAGGTCACCGTGTAAAGGTGTTTTGGGAACACCCACTGACCAAGGGCCGTGGAGGCCCCGTGCTGGGCTTGTGTGGAATGGGGCTGGGCATGGGGACCAAGAGCCTGTCCCCTTCTACCAGCTCATAGGCATGTGAACAGTGTAAGGGTGTCCTTGTGGTCCTCTTGTGTACAGGGTCAGCTGAGGCTGGGGGGAATGGGGTGGGCTCCCAGAGGGTTCCTGCGCTGACCAGGTAGGTAATGAGCATGTGTGTGCTAGAGACAGGCCAGCTGGGGCCTGTAGTCCTCTGTCCCTCTGATGTGGACATGGATGTGGTACTTAATTATGACCTGAGTGCTTCAAGCCTCCGTTTCCTTGGTGGTGAGAGGGAACATATTGGTGGGAGGAAGTGAGGATTGTGGGGAGGGGGGCTCGTTGACACAGGTCAGCCTTGGCTGTGTGTTTGGCTACAAGGGAGGACAGGCAAGAGAGTGTGGACCGGACACCGTGGGGTGTCCACCAGGGATGAGGCTGGACTGGGAGACTGCTGCAGCCCCGCTGGTTGGCGGGGGTGGGACAGAGGCAGAACCTCTCTGAACTCCCTAGGAGGTTCCCCAAACCCTCTCCCTCTTTGTTCACTGGCCTGGCCTTCCTGTGGAAAGGGCTATTTTTAGCCCTCGCTTTTTTTGGTTAATGGGCTTTTTGCAGCTTCTCCCTTTGAAGGGGCTATTTCAGGAGCAGACATCAGTCTCTGCATTTGGACTCCTTGGCTCGAGGTGCAGGAAAAGGTGATGAGGATGAGCTACTCAAGGGGCATCTGCGTCCCTGGACTGCCAGGCCCCTCCCCTGCCCCTGCTGGGTTCTAGGGCAAGGGAGGGACACATGACCCCACCCTGCCAGAGCCTGTGGGAGGCGCTGGCAGAGGTGAACCACAGACTCGGATTTGGGGTCCTGGGGTTTGGGCAAGCAGGAGTGTCCTTGCTTCTGTGACCTGGAACTGGAGTAGGAATGTCCATGTTTTGACCTCGGGGAGCCACTGAAATTGGCCCTTGTTACAGGTTGGAATTGAACAGTGGCTGAATAGTTTTCTCCAGTTTGTAGCAAGAGCCATCAGCACCCACTGTCCCACCCACTCATCTGGGCTTGGGTGATTCGGGCATTTGGAGTGAGCTCTTTTCTCAGTTCTTAACTCATTCAGTCAGAAGGACCCAGGGGGTTAGCCGGGCCCAGCCACCTCCCTGGCCCACTGCACCTCAAGGAAGCTCAGGCTGGCGTGGAGGAACCAGTGCGAAGTCAGCGGCAAGGCGGGGCTGTGCTGGCCGAGGAAGCAGAGTTGGGCAGCGAGAGAACTCAATGTGCCGGTCAGAGGTCTAGGATTCGAGCCGTGGTTATGTCATGGTCAAGGTTGTGTGACCTCATCTGGAAGGAGTAGTGGTGCATACACCCCTGTCCACCCCACCCACAGGGGATCTGGAAGGGCTTTGCCTCAGGCCCTCCCACCACTGCCTTCACCCCAGCCAGCTCCTTCCTGCAGCCCTCTTGGGAACTGCCCTGTGAGGCCCTTTGACACAGGGAATGTGGACCCTATGGGCTGACATGGACAAGGGACGGTGGGCCATGTTGACACAGATAGGAGGTGGGCCCCATCGGCTAACCCCACCAGGAACAGACCCTCAGTGCATGATGGCTCCCTGATGGCGGGTAACAACAGAAGGGGGGTTGCAAATGGGCCTGCGGAGTTAGGGATCTGACCTCTGGGATGGCTCTGGGTTGGAGCACCCCTAGGCTTGCCGAGCGCCTGCCCAAGGCCCAGGGGCCAGCGCAGTTAAGACGAGAGCTCTGGACAGGAAACTAGAGACCAGATTCATGCAGGTGATGTGGCTTGAGTTACCCGCCGCTCTGGACCTGATGTTCTCTTGTGAAGAATTTGCCCGCAGGCTCTCCATGGCCCCTCTGGGGATAAAGCATCTCTAGAGGGCCCCAGAGCCCCATCTGGAAAGTTGGTTTTCACTCTCAGCAGCTGAGTGGATCGGGCCTTCTGGGGAAACTGCTTTCCCCAATTTCACTTACCTGGAAATGCTAGAAAACTTACAACACAGACCATTTAAGCAAAGAAGGCCAGCCTTAGAACTAGGGGAAAAGGTACAAAAGGAACTAAAGATGCAAAATGCAGAAACTGCACTTAAACACAAGGAAGGGTGACCTCTAGCACCAGAGCCAGAGATGACCGTGCAGTCTCGTGTCCCCCGTTCCATTTCCTAGTTAGCCCTGGGCCCGCCTGGATATTGCATGCCTTGTAGTTCAGCACTGCCTTGCCCGGCCAAGCCTCGCAGCACCTAGGTGCTGGGGGCAGGCAAAGGGCTTGTCAGCCCCATTGCTTGTGAGCCGATCACAGACCTGAGCCCAAGTTCAGACTGAGCCAGCCTACTGCTTCCATCCCTGTTCCTCGTGGGCGGTGACCACAACCCACAGAGGATGAGCTCTTCAGTCATAGAACGGAATATAAGCCCCACGACAGCGCTCCCTGAAATGAGGCAGGGAGGACAGTCTGCTCATCCACTGGGATGGAAATGTGACTGTTGTCGCCCTCAGTAGCTCCTGAGGAGCACTGGGACTCCCCTTGTCAGAATGTGTGATTTCTCGGGCCTTCATCTTGGTTAAAACGTGGGTCAATGAGGTGGGAGGTCCTGGTTCAGGTGCAGGGCCAGGGCCTGCTGGGCCTGTGTCCAGCCTGACCCCAGCCGTGAGCAGGTCTTGGCAGCACCCTGGGGAGGGCTCACCAGAGGGAAGCAGGTTTGGGTTGTTGGCTGAAGGAAATGGTTTAGTCTTCAAAGTGCAGGAAGCCCGGGGTTGCTTGGGACCACAGCTCTGGGGTCGCATCACTCTTGGGCCTAGAGAGATTTCTGGGGCTGGGAGTGGGCCTCTCCACGAGGGCTGCCTGCCCTGGGGACGTTGCTGGACTGAACCGGGTCTGTATCTTCTGCTGACTCTGATGATCTTTGTGGGGACATCGATTTCCTTGAGTGTGGCCCTCGGGAACCCTAGCACCTGATTCCTCTTTCTGGGCCTACGTTTCCTCATTGGTGAAATGGGCACAGCTCACCTTGGTGGGTTATTACATGAGTGTCAGAGGCAGCATTGATTACATGTGTTAGTCTGCTGCAGCTGCCGTAACAAAGTTTAAGCCACAGATTGGATGCCTTAAACAATGGAAATTTATTCTCTGGAAGTCAGAAGTCTGTAGTCAAGGTGTGGGCAGGGACACGCTCCCTCTGAGTCCTTGTCTTTCCCAGGTACTGACAGCCCTGGGGGTTACTTTTTGTGAGCAGAACTCGCATCTCTGCCTCCAGCTTCACTCCAACTCTGTACCTGTGTCCAGATTCCCCTCTTACAAGGACACCAAACCCTGCTGGATTTACAGCTCGCCCTAATGACCTCATCTTAACTGGATTGCATCTGCAAAGACCCTATTTCTGAATAAGGTCTCACGGGGTCCCAGAGAAAACATTACACAATCAAACACATGCAGTTCCCCCACGCAGGTAGCTCATGCTTTAAAATTAAGTCCATGATTTACTTAGAGCATGGGGCAGGTTATCCGCTGTTATCCACCTTGTGTTGCATTGCTTTTCCTGAAGGTCAGTGTCTGTACCCACTGAGCAGCAAGCCCTTCCTGTGCCGAGAGTTGGTAGCACTGGATGTGCACTTGCCGGGTTAGCGCCGCCTGCAGGTGGGCAGCGAGAGGGCGGGGCAGGTCTTGGCAGTTTTGCGACTGCTTGTTTAGAGGATCATTCTCTGATACAGACTTTTGTTGACTGAGGAGAAAATGCATTTATTTCCTTATTTGAGTAACAGAGTCGCCCCTGGAAGTCATGTCATTTCCCCTTCGTCACTTAGGCTCTTGTTCTCAATGAGGGTCATAATCGTTGTTTTACTTTGTTTAAAAGTCAATTATTGGCCGGACGCAGTGGCTCACACCTGTAATCCCAGCACTTTGGGAGGCCGAGGCGGGTGGATCACGAGGTCAGGAGA